GGGCAGGAAAGTCTGTGAAACACTTATCTCAAATCCACCACTAGAAAACTGGAAGTGGCACTGTGGCTCAAGTGGTAGAGTGCTAGCCTTGAGCTGATGAGCTGAGGGACAGCGCCCAGGCCCAGAGTTCAAGCCCCACAACCGACCAAAAAAAAGAAAAGAAAAAAGAAAGAAATTATCCGAAGGAATGTCTTTAAATAGGACTTTTTGCCACTAGCTAATCACACTAATGTTCTCCAAAGATGAGCCAAGGAAGATCATAATCTTCTCTCAAGTGAGCCAAGCACTGGCTTACAAAAGAGAGGTTCCGATTCTCCTGCACATAAAAAATTCCCATGCAATTTCCTTTGTAGCAGCTCAAGACATTCAAGGTATTCTAGCATTAAACAACATAGTATCAAAGAAGTCTGAAATATCCTCAAAGACGGAAATTATTTCTTCTAACAGACTGTCCGGAGATGGTCAGGCACTCTTAACATGTTTTCATTGTCAGTGACCACAAAGCCTCTCAAAGCAAGGCAAACCTTCCCTCTTATGCTACTCGATGCTTATACTTTGCAGTGGATCTGTGCCAGCAAAGAGCACAGGGACAAAGTCAGCAATAGTAGGGGGCGTGTAGATGCAAGGGACATGGATCCTATTAGAACCTGGAAGAAAGCCTTTCTTTTTTTGGCTGGTTGTGGGGCTTGAAACTCGGCCTGGGCGCTGTCCGTCAGCATTTCAGCTCAAGGCTAGCGCTCTACTACTTGAGCCACAGTGTCACTTCCGGCTTTCTCTGCTTATGTGGTGCTGAGGAATCAAACCCAGGGCCTCATGCATGCCAGGCAAGCACTCTACCACTGAGCCACCTTCCCAGCCTGAGAAGGTCATTTTTCTGAAGAGTGCTGAGAAAAAGCACTTGTGCAGTATGACTCAACATTGTTTTTGGGTCAATGGGAATGTGCTAGTCAGGAGATTCTTGCTGCCAAGGGAAAAATGAAGACAATACTCATGCTAGGTTTCACCAAGTTTTCACTTCAGAATACTACACAATTCCTGAATATGGGGGAATAATCAAACAACTCCAATCTGGACCAAGACAAGGGGTGGAGCTGTTCATGTGTACCAAGTACTGAGACTAGGGATTCCTTGGTAGGTTTCTCTACTAAGGCACATTACCATTTGTACACTTTCAAGGGAAAGGAGATTGCTGTGCAATCTCATAAAAACTGCTCTGAAGACAGGTAGGATAAATGGAATAAAATGTAACCATGGGAACTGGGGGGGCGGAGGGGAGGGCAGAATGACAAATGTTCACAGCAAACCATCCAGGCAATAACTAAGGCCTGTATTTCATGTCACAAGATGATGTATATATTATGAAGAAAATTTACATTCTACTTTTCAAAATTTTATGAGATTTTTATGTCCATTATCATTACTTTAAAAAGTCAAAGCCAAGCTGGGAGCTGGTGGCTCATACCTATAATCCTAACTACTCAGGAAGCTGAGATTTGAGGATCACGGTTCAAAGCCAGCCCAGGCAGGAAAGTCCGAGGGACTCTTATCTCCAATAAACCACTAAGAAAACAGAAGTGGTGCTGTGGCTCAAGGGGTAGAAAGCTGGCCTTGAGCTGAAGAGCTGAGGGACAGTGCCCAGGCCCAGAGTTCAAGACCCATGACTGACCAAAAAAAAAAAAGTCAAAGCCAAATAAGGGCTATAAAAGTCAAGACATTTTATTAGTTGTTAATGTGTAAATGGCAATGCAGGACAGATTTCTACTGAAATCGTAGTTCCAAACAGGGGACAGATACATTAAATTTGGCCAAATGAAGACACTTTTTCTTCCTAGACTGTGGGTTCTATGTATCACTCAGGACCCATGTATGGACCTGCTAAAACCAGTATAAACCAGTACTTACTACAGCCTGGAAATCCTGCCCGAACAAATAAGTGGTCTACATATTTAGTGGTATTTGGGTTAAGATTACATTTTAAAAGGTCTCTTTTAAGGTTTGTACAGGAAAGCTGGCTGCAGGGGTGTGCACCTGCAGTAGCAGCTGCTCAGGAGGCTGAGGTGGGAGAACCATCTGAGCCCAAGGAGTTCAAGGCTAGCCTGGGCAACACAGTGAAATGGCTTTGAAAAAAAAAAAGAGATTTGTATCTGAAAGTAAAAATGAACACAATCTTTAAATCTGCACAATAATTGGGCAGAAATTATACAATGGTCATAAAAACTTCTTTTGTGGAGTTTTGAGTTTGGGGCTTTGAGCTTGCTACCCAGACACTATTACTGCTGACCCATGCCTCCAGCCTAGGCTTTTGCTTTTTATTTTTGACATAGTCTCACTTCTTGCCAGGCATAATCCACCCATGTCAGGCTTCCTGGCAACTAGGATGATAGGCACCTACAACCTCATCTAGTTGAGAAGGGGGACTCATGAACTTTCCTGCCTGGGCTGGCTGGAAGCCATAATCTCCCATAATCTCAGCCTCCCAAGTGGTTAGTATTACAAGCATGAGCCAGTAGGATCTGCTTCCAAAACATTTTAATACCATCAAGTTCTAGTTTCCACTTCTGTAAAATCTAGTCAGAGATACTCTAAGATAGGCAATCAGCTGCAGTTTTTGAGAATTCTCCAATTTCAAAATTAATCAATTGTGGCCATCATCGCTGTGAACCCAGGCTGAAAGGTCAGAAAGAACTGTTAAATCCCAGAGGACAGTTCCAGCCATCAACTACTTTTCAAAGTCCTATGTAGCTTTTGATTCATGCTTCATGCTGTTAGTTCTAGCTTATTTTTTTTCAAAAAAGGCCTGAACACACTATATACAAGGTCAGTGTGAGTCACACCATTTCCTTGTATACCTGTTATGCTGAGCTCTGTTAACAGAAAATGATTAACAGGCTTAAAAAAGAAAAAAAATCATTTCCCTTCCTATTCCTTCTTTGACAGCAATGTTAATACATAATGAAAATAGATCAAAGTTGGGTGTGGGTGGCTCATGCCTGTAATGCTAGCCACTCAGGAAGCTGAGATTTGAGGATCTTGGTTCAAAGTCAGCCAGGGCAGGAAAGTCTGTAAAATTCTTATTTCCAATTCAATCACAGAAAAAGCCAGAAGTGGTGCTGTGGTAGAATGCTAGCCTTGAGCAAAAGGAGCTCAGAGACAGACAGCAGCATCCAGGCCCAGAGTTCAAGCTTTAGGAAGCAGGGACGGGGGAAGGGGGAGCGGGGAGAGTAGATAAAAAAGAAAGGATAGAAAACTTGACAAATCTGTAAAATCTCTGCTAAACATGCCAAGTAGTCTTTACAATGTTCTGAAACACTGTGCATCTTTGTTACTTTAAAATAAAGGGCATTTTCAAATCAAACATGGAGAAATGTATTTTTACACCTGATGATAAAAATCAGTAGCAAGTCAACATAAAACAATGCTTGGCAAAACTTGGAAAGGAATATCCGTCATGACTTCAGCATTAAATGAAGGTTGTGTCAGTGTGCAGCAGGGATGGATGTGAATTAAAGATTCTGTCCTGAAAACAATATACCCAGTTTTGTTTTATTTTAAAATCTTATCTTCCCTTCCTTAATCTATTCAAAATTGATACTTACCTGATTGGGTTCAAACTATATCACTTTTTTTTTTTTTGTACATACTAGGGCTAGAATTCAATGCTGTACATACTTGGCTTGGCTTTCTGTTCACAACTGGCACTCTACTACTGAGCCATACCTCCACTTCTTGCTTTTTGCTGGCTAACTGGAGATTCTCTTAAGATCTGTCTTCCTAGACTGCCTTTGAACCACAATCTTCAGACCTCCTCCTGAGTATCAAGGATTGTATGTGTGAACCCGTAGGGCCCAACACCCAACTTTTAACATCTGATACACTTGGAAAAATTCTATGCAGACTAGGGCAACAATTTTCATAGATGCAGGCCCCACCAAGGACTGATAATTTCCTTCCTCTGGCCATTATTGGAAGCCACATGTTTCTGTCTCCCCAACCAGTACAGGACTGAGATGATGATCACCCATCACCTATTACCACATTGTAAGTTAGCACCCCTGAAAAATACCATTATTGGTAAACTGTTAACCTGTTTAAAGTTTTCACTGTCACCATTATCCTCAAAGATCTGCTCAGAGGAGGAAGCAGATTGGCTCTTGAAGGTCACTGAGTGTCCAATATGCTGTGATTTTAAAAATATACTACCATATGTCTAGTAGGACAAAAAGTAGATAAAGAGGAGCGCTGAACCTAACAAAGAAGTCATCCAGCAATATACTGGACAGTCTTATCAGTATTTCTTTCCTGAGAGAAGTCTTCATATTTTTGCTTAAAACAAGGTGATCTTCAAGTGGATCATTCCTAAGACTTACCCCCATTTGACTTTAGGGGTAACACACCATATTTTAGCAAGGATAAAAGACTTTAAAACCAATTAACAACCAATAGGATTTTGATGCCTACACTTAGGTTTAATACAAAAAGACATAAAAAAATGTCTCCCTTACCTCTTTTCCATCTCAAGGTTAAAGGACACAGTAATACTGAATCAGGACACAGGCACATGTTATATAGATCTTATTTAATATAGTACCCCCTACATCCTGCTTTCACACAGTTGATACTTTCAAGAAAGCTATTCAAGTAAATTTAAAACACCTCCCTATACCAATGATTTTCAAATTACTTTTAAATGATAGCTGCTTCCTTCAAGACAACTAAACCTTAGCAGAAAATTTCCAGGTTGTATTAAAAGAGACAAAGCAGGGATGTTGTGGTTGGTAGCTTGAAGTCTTTCTGCTACCTCTGGGTGATCTTCTTGGAGATCCAACGTATGGAGTTAGAAAACCACTGAATGTCTGCTAGCAATTAAATTTATATCATCTAGTTAAGGTTTAAGTCGAATGAATCAAATACTGAATGGAATGTTGGGATTCAAATGAGCAGTTAAAATTCATTAGACAGTTTGTTTTTAAAATACTCATCAAGAAGTTAAAGGGACAATGGAAGGTTTACACATCATGTCACTATTTATTGAAGAAAAGAGAACTTGAAAAAAATCTTACTTCAAAACTTCAGTCTAGTGAACTGAAGTTTACTGCTTCTTTTACTTAAAATGAAACCATGACTTACCCCAATTATAAATTAGGATAATTACATTGAAAATTTCACAAAAAAAAAAAAAAAAAACAAAAAAAAACACAAAAATAAAACCCAAAACAGTATAAATCATGCATGGGCTTTACAGAATTCAGTTTCTTTTCTTTTTTTCTTTCTTCTTTTTGAGATAGAGTCTCACTATGTTGCTCACGCTGTACTCGAACTCACTATGTAGCTCAGGACGGCCTCAAACTTGTGATCTGATCCTTCTGCATGAGCTTCCCAGGTGTGTACTACCACACCTGGCAGAAACCAATTTTTTTTTTACAAAGTTTTGACAAATTGTTACTTTACTATTCAATAAGAATTTTCCTTCAAAGATACACACTGTGCCTTTGACTTTTCTTTTTTAAACAGGGCTAACTGTAAAACATAAAGGAAATGCAAATATGCATAGAAATTGCTTATTCACAGTTCTAACTGCTCATATCAAACTTTTTTTAGGAAAAGGAAAAATGTATCCAGTATACAATTGAACCAACATACAACTTATATTGTTTTGTGGTAAGACTTCAAATAGAGATTTTAAAAAGTACACTTAACTACAAAAGATTAAATACTTATAAAATTATCTTTACCCTGAAATGGTTAGGTATATAAAGTGTTGATGCCCATGTCAACAGTACATTATACATTACACACATTATTTAAATGACATTTTCTTTCCATTAATAATGTAGATAAAACCACAACATTTATTGCTTATATCAAATGCAGGTTAAAATCCAGATAGCCTCCAAAACCAATCCTTGTAATAAAGGATTTCTCAATGTTGGTCAGGTAAAATATTACGTTTGACATGTGTGAATACAGCTGCAAAATGTACCAGTTTCTCACAAACACCAATGTCTTTATTTTAGAGTAGTTTACAGTTTGGGTTTCAGAGGAACCTGCAGTGAAGATCCTGAGATGCTGGGCCTGTGACTGTAAATATCACTTATCTGGCTGATGTCTATTCTACTGCACCGATTTTGGGTATGAGGCATTTGCTGCTAACAAACAAACCCTTGAGATTAACGCAGCACTGTCAGCTACTAGTGCAGAAGCTTGCCAGGCAAAACTTTATTTATAGGACACGTTGGTGAAAAAACAGTGTCCAGCCAATCAAAGTGCCAACCAAAATGACTGACACAAACCCAATCTTAGTGAGAATAGGTTGCCAATATAACCACCTTTTTCTTTTTCGTTCAGTCTCATTTAGCCTCTGTTTCATCTGCTGCACCTTCTGAGCTGTGGTAGCCTTTCGGTCCTCTCGAATACGTTTCCGTAGAACACTGTAAGAGATAAAAACAAGTCAATGGAAGTGTACGCTCAGAAGGCTGTAACCCAAGTACAAAGGACCCAGGCACCAGCAAAGCCACATATGCCTATACTTTTCATCTCATTCCAACATAAATAAAAATGTGAAAGCTTCAATGTTCCAAATGCTCCAGAGATTTACTCTTATAAATTGGCAACGATTTCTGGTTGTTTTATCTTAAAAATACTTTTAATGAGACCTGAAAAAGTGCATGATACTTTCTTTTTCAAAATGTGAACTGGTAAACTGAGATGGAGAGGGAAGGGGTGACATTTTCAAAAAAGAAACGTATTCTTTACCTGACTTATGTAACTGTAAGCTTTCTGTACATCACCTCTATAACAACAATGATTTTTTTTTAAGTAAACTGGTGATCATCAGTTTTCTTTCGTTGACAACCAGGCAGTAGAAGCAGGAGGGGAAGACAACAGGTTCTCCAGTATCTGGCTGTCTTTTGCACCTGGTCATCATAAATATCCTTGGCAAAAACTGCTTGTTTGCATGACTATTATTGTTTTTTGTTTTTTTGGTCGGTTGTGGGGCCTGAACTCTGGGCCTGGGTGCTGTTAGCTCTTCAGTGTAAGACTAGTACTCTACCATTTGAGCCATGGCACCACTTCCAGCTTTTTTCGGCTTATGTGGTGCTGAAGAATAGAACCCAGGGCCTCATGCATGCAAGGCAAGCACTCTACCACTGAGCCCAGCCCCAGCTGGGCTGACTATGATGTTGTGAGAGCACTTATGCTCCTGCTTGTCCACATATATGTTTCTAGCATCTTGGAAATTGTTTAATACAGAACTTTTAGTTCTGGCTCTGACCCTTAGTCCTAGGACTAAGAAGAATGTCCAATGGCAATATGCTAGTCATTTCACTTTTTAAAGTGTCATAAAATCTAACTCCCTCTGTTTACTTATCATATGTGTTATGGAAAAAGCCTTGCCAGTTTTTGAGTTCTTCCAGTAAATGTTTCCAAAGCATAGCTCTAAATATGCAGCTTAAACAAAAATCTTGGTTGCTTCTTCAATGCCTACTATATTAAGAAAGAACTTTTTCCTGGCCAAAAAGTTCTCTCATATCCATAAAAAAAGATGATTAGAGAAACCCAAATTGTAGAGCAATCTGAAAGACAGCAAATTAATAAGCAAAGGAGAAAAAGTATCTGGAGAACAATTCTTGATTAAAGTAGACCAAAGAATCCTATCAATTAAATGCAATGCAGGATCCTTGATTAGATACTGAATTATTTTTGTGTTTCTGTGTACCTGGGATTACACATGACTGGCTTGTTTGTTCAGGTGGAGTCTCATTTGCTTTTTACATGAGCTTATCTCAAACTGTGATCCATCTTTACACAGTTGGGATTTTAAGAGTTTGTCTGACAACTATGTACTGTAAGATATTAATTGTATTTCCAGAAAATACACTTGAAAAGCTATACAAATTGAAACTCTCTTGTACAACTGAAACCTCTTTTTTTTTTTAATATATTTTTATTGTGAAAATACTGTACAGAGGGGTTACAATTATGTGGGTAAGATAATGAGCACATTTCTTATCAAGCATTGTAGCCTCCTGCTTTGTTTCCCCTTCCCATCCCTTCGTATCCTTCCCCCCCTCTTTTTAGTCCCCCCCACCAAAGTTGTAAAGTCCATTTTTCGACATAACGACTTGTATATTTGAAACCTCTTTGTATAATTACTTTTTAAAAAAGTAATAAAATGATAGAATAACTATAAAAAGCTATACAGAAGACTTCTTAAATCAGCTACAGAAATCTGGACATGTACTATCTGTTAGAATATTTTGTGTCACATGTCTTTGGTAAGTGGAACTTTCATATATGACAGAAATAGAGTTGTTAGGGGATGTATAGAATTGTCAGACAGTTCCTCAAAATGTTAAATGTGGAATTATTACAGGACTCACTACTTCTAGTTATCTACCCAAGAGAATGGAGAAACAGGTTTATGAATGCAAAATCTTTTCAGAATTATCCAATTAACATTGTTACCTCTCATTCCTATTCTGTTTAATTCTCCTCTTTTCACCTCTATACACCTTCAATCTTATGGAATTTAGCCTATTTAATTAGCAATTTACTAACAGTTTGCCAATTTGGGTGCTTCTTTTCCCCTCCCAATGTATTAGCAACTTGTGAACTATCTTTGTAGTCTATGGTGTTAAATATTCAGATTAGTTCAAATAATGAGAAATACCTGTTTATGTCAAAAAAATTTTTTTGTAAAAAACTTTTTGAGACATATTATGACCTATGCAAGTTATTACTCAGAATTCACTCTCTGAACTGAAAATTAATCATGACAAATATAAAAGTACATGAAGAGGGGCTGGGAAGGTGGCTCAGTGGTAGAGCACTTGCCTTGCATGCATGAGGCCCTGGGTTCGATTCCTCAGCACCACATAAGCAAAAAGAAAAAAGCTGAAAGTGGCACTGTGATTCAAGTGGTAGAGTGTTAGCCTTGAGCTGAAGAGCTGAGGGACAGCCAGAGTTCAGGCCCCACAACCGGGCCCCCAAAACAACAACAACAACAACAAAAAAAACATAAAATTTACTGAGTCTAAAGCCAGAAGTAGAGCTGTGTTTTAAGTGATAGTGCACTAGCTTTAAGAAAAAAGCTCAGGAACAGTGAGTGCCCCAGCCTTGAGTTCGAGCCCTATGAAAAGCACACAAAAAATATATGAGGAGGGGAAGGGAAAAAACAAATCGTTTAAATAGGGATACAGGTGGACCCATTGCAACAATGAGATGTACAAGTTGTTATGTCGAAAAACGAACTTTACAACGTTGGTGGGGGTGGGGGGAGGAGGGGAGAAGAGAGGTATATGGGGGGAGCGGGATATGGGAAGAGGTAGGAAGGGGAAACAAAGGAGGAAGCAACAATGCTTAATAAGAAATGTACTCATTATCTTGCCCAGGTAATTGTAACTCCTCTGTACGGTATTTTCATAATAAAAAATTTAAAACATATCTAGCTAGCTTTGGTGGTACAGACTTGCAATCTTATCACTTATAAGCTAACAGAAAGATTACAAGCTTGAGGCCAAACTGTACTACATGGTTCTGAGTAACAAAGCTCGAAAATAATCTTTTTTCTGATGTTTTATCTCCTCATCTTCCCCTATAACTTTCCTGTTTCAACCAGTTATTTCTGCTTAGAACTCTTTCTTCATTGTTGGGATCATCACTGTGCTTTTAAACAAGTAGTGATTTTAATCTATCTCTGAGGGAAGAAAAACACAAAACAAAATGTGAATGCATGTGCTAGCAAACATCACACACACACTGCACTGAAAATTTTCTGTAATTACTTTAGAACTCCTGAGTGATTTTACTTAAACCTTTTCTATATTGTAAAACATGGACAAGGAGAAGTTTAATTGGAACTGCTAATATGACTTCTCTGTGTATTTAAAACACTTGTTAAATAATAAGAACACCAATTCAGATATTAAACTTGCTTTCCTTAATTCTGCATACAGTATTGCCTAAAAGGAAAAAGCAAACAATAATAAGGAGTTTGTGACTATTATTACTGAAAAAGATAATGCAATTTATTTAAAACAATAACTTCCTGAGGTAAAAGTATTAATAGTTAAGGCCAAAAATGAACAAATAAGCATGTATTACTTTTACTTATAGTACTTGTAGTATACAGTTACTAAGGCCATATACTGAAATATTACCTTTTCTGAAATTTCAGTCACAATTTTGTTTTCTTCTAGTGCTGAGAATTGAGCCCAGAATCTTAAGTATACTAAATCTTAGCTCTACTAAACCAACCCAATTTTTGTATTAGAAAATACAGAAGTAAAGCTATAATGTATGGGAAATCTTGATGATAAGAAACCTTGATGATTTTCATAGTACCCTTTAAAATCTCAATATAAGAAACATAACTACAACATAAAATTTCCCAAAGTTTTTTTCTGTCAGTCGTGGGGCCTGAACTCTGGGCCTGAGCACTGTCCCTCAGCTCTTTAGCTCAAGGCTAGTGTTCTACTGCTTGAGTCATAGCGCCACTTCCAGCTTTTTCTGTTTATGTGGTGCTGAGGAATGGAACCCAGGGTCTCGTGCATGCCAGGCAAGCACTACTCTACCACTGAGCCACCTTCCCAGCCCCACCGTAAAAAGTTTATCTCACAGAAAAAAAAAAGACATTCAGAATGAGAGTGAGAGAGGAAGAATAGACCTTGTTTACTAAGTGATTTATACCTCAACATATCTGCTTCCCATCCTGTATGGGGAACTTAGAGCCTTGGAAATATAGATCTTCAAAAACTTTTTTTTATTTTATGGTTTACCTACTCATGTATATTCGAAAATCAAAAGCTGAAAAAGGGAATTTCATATATGGGGAAAAAGATGCTTTTATTTTTCTAGCAACAGAAATATGTTTAACTTTCACTATTTATTTTCTGTACCATGCTAATGATTTTAGCACCATATTACATTAACTACATACTTCATATTGTTTCTTCTTCATATTGTTACTACGCTTAAAAGCTCTTTGAGAGTAATTATGTCATCACCCATAATTAAAAACCTTTACATAAGAAATGAATTTATCTTAATTCAATAGAGACAGTATTACTTTACACCCACTAAATTTATTAAAATAAAAAGCCTCATTTGAGTAGGCAATTATAGGACTCTTTACCTCTCGCTGCTTTCCTCCACAGTATCTTGCATTTTAGAGGAAAGTCCTGTACACCGGTCACCTGTCAGTTTCTCTTCTTCTAGACCTTGTCTGTTCCCATTATACTTTTCAATGATTATTTTGTTCGGTGAATGATCGAAAGCAGGACTTAAGTCTTCTTTAGAAAGTTCTTTCCACCGTTTCTAGGAAAGAGAAATAAACAAATGCAAACACTACAGTTTTCCTTAAACCAAAAGTTTGTTGTTTTTTTTTTGGTCCGGTCGTGGGGCCTGAACTCTGGGCCTGGGCTCTATCCCTCAGTTCTTCAGCTCAAGGCTAGCGCTCTACTACTTGAGCCATAGCGCCACTTCCGGCTTTTTTCTTTTTGCTTATGTGGTGCTGAGGAATCGAACCTAGGGCCTCAGGCATGCAAGGCAAGCGCTCTACCGCTGAGCCACCTTCCTAGCCCCCCAAAAGTATTTATAAACTGAAATTATTCACATTAAGAATATCTGGCAGGCGCCAGTGGCTCACGCCTATAATCCTAGCTAGTCAGGAGGCTGAGATCTGAGGATCACGATTCAAAGCCAGCCTGGGCAGGCAAGGCCATGAAACTCTTATCTCCAATAAAAACCACTAGAAAACCAGAAGTGGAGCTGTGGCGCTGTGGTGCTGTGGCTCACTGCAGTAGAGGGCTTGCCTTGAGCTGAAGGGACAACGCCCAAATCCAGAGTTCAAGCCCCACAACCAACAAAAGAAAAAAAAAAAAAAAAAGACTATCTCTGGCCAGGCATGATGGCTTAAGTCTGTAATCCTTACAACTAGGGAGACAAAGATTGGGGGCTGGTGCTTCAAGGCCAGCCTGGGCAAAAACAAGTAGCAAGACTCTATATTGACCAATGGTTGTATATGGTGGCTTCTGCCTGTCATTTTAGCAATGGGGAGAAGAACAAACAGGAGGATCATAGTTCAGGCCTACCTGAGCATTAAGCAAGAGCCTATCTCAAAAACAAAAACAAAAGCCAAACAAACAAAAAAACCCACAAAGTGCTGGCAAAATGGTACAAGTGGTCTGCTTAGTTCAAATCAAGTACTACTCACTTAAAATACTCTTCAGTATATAAATTAATAAAAAAGAAAAAGGCTTTTAATCATACCATAGCTCTTATAACTAGGCTTATTTTAAGTTCAAGTTTTAAAATAAAACGTTTATAACTTACATACCTTATTGTATAGCTGAAAATCGAATGGACTTTAGCCTAATTGAAACGAACTACATTAGATTTTCGTTAAAGCATTAAGTCATAAAATTTTAGTCAGTTGTTAAGGTTTTGCTTAACTTTTTTGTTGAGACGGTATCTTACTATGTAGCCCAACCTGGTCTCAAACTCAAGATCCTATTATCTCAGCCTCCCAAGTGCTGGGATTGTGAGTGTATATAACCACACCCAGGCATGCAATATCTTCCGGCTCCTTGTCTCTTTACAGTCTCAGCAAAATTCAACATATCTCCAAGCAGATCCCTATGATGTCTAAGGACTTTAATCTCATTGTTTCTACCGGGCAAACTAGCAGTTCCTCACAGTTAGCCCAGGGCTTAGAAATGCCCTCCAGCACACCTGAGATTGAGAACTGATGATAACAAAATTTAGGGCTCAAACAGAGGAAGAAAAATTTTTAGTTTCCTTCAATAAAAGAGGAGGCCATCACCTACTTAGACCACTATGGTGGCCAATGAGTTGGTGTGTTCTGAGCCTGGTACCATGTTGACACCAATGTCAAGTTGGAGGAAGAAGCACAAAGTTTATCTGGGTCCCTAAAGATAAAAACAGTGACAGTTTTATAGAAAAAGAACGGCAGGTTCTGGAGCCAGTCTCTTAAGCTTTACATAGGCTGGGGCACAATTATCAGCTACTATCTGCCATGAGACACAAGGCAAGCAGGGACAGCAAGAGAAGACGGCGGGGTTTTATCATCACTGACTTTCACACTGGCCCAAATGGCTTGTCCCTAATTAAAATAAGTCAATGGCTCATACCTGTAACCTTACCTACTTGAGAGGCTGAGATTGAGAGGATTATTGTTTGAGGCCAGCCTCATCAGAAAAAAATCTTTATGTGCCCTTTCTCAACCAATAGTTGGGTGCAGTGGCACATGCCTGCTTTCCCAACTACAGAATGATGCCTAAAATAGGTTGCGCACAAACCAGGCACATGCTTGGGCAGAAAGTGCAAAAAAGTGCAAAAAAAAGGATGGAGCAACTGCCTATCAAGTGTTAGGCCCTGAATTCAAGCCCTAATACTGTGGAAAAGAGAAAAGCATGGGAAGATACTCTTACTGCCTGAAGAATGTAATGGTTTTAAATAGAGATATAAATGCTACAACTTACAGAGCATTTACTCCTTGGAGTTACTTTTGTATAAGACGCTAAAACCAACCCTTCTATATTTAGAAACAAAAGAACAAAAACCAAAAACCAAACCTCTAGCCAGGCATTGGTAGCTCACACCTGTGATCTACCTGTGATCAGATCTGAAGACTAAAGCAAAGCCAGACTGGGGAAGGAAAGTCTGTGAGATGCTTCTCTTCAATTAACCACCACAAAGCCCAAAGTAGAGCTGTGGCAGACAGTCTGGGTTGACTATACTTACTATAAACTCCACATTATGACCTGAGTCTCTAAAAGCTCACTAATTTCAGTCACAGGATAACTTCAAAAAGTATTTATTAAATGGTTATACTGAGCTGTGATGGTACATGATTGTAATCTAAGCACACAGGAAGCTGAGACAGAGGATTAAAAATTTGAGCCTAGCTTGGACTACTTAGTGAGACCCTATGTCAAAATACAAACAGGGACCTGGAAAGGTAGCACAGTGGTAGAGTACTTGCCTTGCAAGCATGAGGCCCTCAGCACTACATAAACAGAAAAAGCTGGAAGTGGTGCTGTGGCTCAAGTGGTGGAGTGCTAGCCTTGAGCTAAAGAGCTCAGGGACAGCTCCCAGGCCCATAGTTCAGGCCCCATGACTGACCAAAAAAAAATTCATAATTTTAAGAAAGCAGCTTTAACTTTACCACATTAACTTAAATATAGTTTTTGGAAAGGACAAGATAAGGGCTTAGGTATAGTTTATTGATGTGAATTATATTTAGTAAGTTTTTCTTATATTGTAGTACTAGGGATTGAACCGGGGACTTGTGCCTGCTCAGCAAGTGCTTTACCACTTGAGCCATGCAGGTAGTCCTTTTGTTCGAGAAGAGTGTCTTGTTCCTTCTTGTCAGAACTGAGCTCAAATTCCTGTTCCTTCTGTTCCTAACTCCCAAGTAACTAGGATTACAGATATGAGACATCACACACAAATTATCAAACAAGTATTGTCCCAAATAAAAGTTTACCTGTATATTTGAATCTCCCTTTATACACTTTGCTCCTTCTATAATGGCCATATAAGAGAATCTGAGTTGATCTGGTGTCTGAATAAGTCCCATTCGGTATTTTCTCATATTCAGTAACACTTGTTTAATGTTAATATCATCTCCTTTTTCCATCTGTAAGTAAAATATATCAAGTCTTTTTTATTATTAGAGTACAGCAAACAAAAGCAATACAAGATCAATGCTAGACTCTAGAAAAGCATTGACTCTTCAAGAATAATTTAATGCATTCCCCTATCTACTCTTTTTTTGTCATACCTCAATTTTTCATGTAGTAAAGGATTTTTTTTTGGGGTCGGTCGTGGGGCTTGAACTCTGGGCCTGGGCGCTGTCCCTCAGTTCTTCAGCTCAAGGTTAGCGCTCTACCACCTGAGCCACAGCGCCACTTCCATAGTAAAGAATTTTTATTCTTAAATGACTCATAACTAATTACAAGCCATAATAATGCCATTTACTTTGGCTAATAATTGGTCAAAGGAACGACTTATGACCAGTTCTGGCTAGTGTATGGGTAAATCTACTGTGATTAGTTTTTTTTAAAAAGGTCTTGGAAAGAGAATACCAATTTTTTAAAACATATTTTTGCTAAGTGCCCTTCTGCCCTCTTCATGTCTGCACTATAGAGGTGATGTCTAGATGTACAGTAGCAATCTAAAGATGTTAGAAAAGGTCAGAAAAAGCCTTAGTTCATGGCAGTACTGCTGAGCTACTGCACTAGCTCTGGACTATTGATATGGTTTTAGAAACAATCTTGAACTATAAAGATTTAAACTGTTTGACCAGTGAGTCACATCCTTACTTCATTTCATCTAGTTTTAATATTTACCACTAACAAAAAAGAAACCAGTTTTAAAATATGATAAAGTACACTTCAATGTAGCAATCTATATTTAATAATTTAATAATTTTAGCAATCTATAACATATATAGTCAGAGTGGTAGAAGAAAAACAGATGTATCAATATTCAATTGTTTCTAAATTTAGCTTTCATTTTTAGATGCAGTATCAGAAATATTGTAAAGGTATCATTGTATTCACCAAGACCCCAGAAACAACAACCTCAGGTTAATTTTTGAGAATCTACTTTATGCTAGTAGACATTTTACAAAGTTTAAGAATGCTGCCAGGCGCTGGTGGCTCACACCTGTAATCCTAGCTACTCAGGAGGCTGAGATCTGAGGATCGTGGTTCAAAGCCAGCCTGGGCAGGAAACTCTGTGAGGCTCTCATCTCCAATTAACCACCAGAAAACCGAAGTGGTGCTGTGGCTCAAGTGGTAGAGCTCTGACCTTGAGTTGAAGAGCTTGAGGACAACACTCAGGCCCAGAGTTCAAGCCCCACATGACAAAAAAAAAAAAAAAAAAAAAAGAGAGAGAGATGGGTGCAAAGACACATTAACTACATTTACAGAGATAGCTAAGAGACAAACCAATATAAGTAAGACAATACAGGACAAGTGCCCAGGGACAATGCCCAGGCCCAGAGTTCAGGCTTCACGACTGACCGCCACCCCCATCACCCCCCCAAAAAAAATAGCAAAAAAATCAATTTCCTAGAAAGATACAAAAAGGGCTAATCCAAGCTATGACTGTGAACAGTCAGTGGAGAAAGAATATAGCTTTTGGCTATATATAGGAATCTGGGAATAACAACAAAATACTGGCAATCATGGAGTACTCAGAAAATATTATTAACTCACTGAATTCCATGACAATCTTGCAAAGTAAGTACAATTATCCTTCCTTAATAAATAAAGCAAAAGGGATGAAGTGCTTTTATGAAGAGAAAGGAATTGGCATTATATATAAATTTATATTTGAATGAGGGGGAAGCTATTATATCTGTAATACAAATATGTGGGTTTTTTCCCTCTTGTCTTGAGTCTCTATTTGGTCCATACTGGCCTTGAAATGGAAATCTTCCTGACTCAGCCTTCCAAGTGGTGAGATTACAGGCATGAGCCAATACCATGACCACCTTTTTTTTTTTTTTTATGATAAACTTCTCAAGTATCTTTTCAATAATTTTAGACACATGAGAGTGAGAATGAGAGTTTTATGTTTTTCTAAAGAAAAGCAGCATCTTAACTTAAAAAGCTAGGTCCAAGGCCAGGGGCTGGTGGTTCATGTCTGTAATCCTAGCTACTCAGGGGACTGAGATTTGAGGATCACAGTTTGAAGCCAGACTGGGCAAGAGAGCTTATGAGACCACCCAAAAACTCAAGCAGTAGCCTTGAGCAAAAAGTGGCTCAGAAGCTGGGTGCTGGTGGCTCACACCTATAATCCTAGCAACTCAGGAGGCTGAGATCTCAGGATCTCAGTTCCAAGCCAACCTGGGCAGGGAGCAGGAAAGACCAGGGGGCAGGAAAGACCGTGAGACTCTTATCTCCAATTAGCCACCAGAAAACCAGAAGTGGTACTGTGGCTCAAGAGGTAGAGCACTAAGCCTTGAGCTGAAGAGCTGAGGGACAGGGCCCAGGCCCAGAGTTCAAGCCCCACAACCAATGAATACGAAAACCAAAACCAAAACCAGCTCAGGCCCTTAGTTCACAGGACCAACACCAACAAAAAGCTAGTTCCAAAATATGAAAGTAGGAGACAAGAGTTTACTCTTGGCAGTACAAACAAGTCACACACACACACACACACACACACACACACACACACACACACACACACACACACACACACACACACACACACACACACACACACACACACAAATAATAACAAAGGCAATAAAAATCAGTAACACTGAAATGAGATCACAAGATGCACTTACCAGAACAAGACATGTGTCTACTAGAGAGAAGGTGCCAGAGCGCCCTATGCCTGCACTGCAGTGGATCACTGCAGGCCCGTGGTCAGGGTTCAAGGAGCCAGATTCTCTCACTTTAATCAAGAAATTAAGAAATGAAGCTGGTGATTCAGGTACTCCAAAATCTGGCCAGGTAGTATAATGAAAGTGAGATATTGTTCTGGATTCACCACTCTAAAAAGTGAAAACCAAGGGAAGAGATGTTAATTCTACCATTTTTCTTTTTAAAAAAATTATGTGTTTTGTATGATATATTTAATCCCATGGGCTGTTTGTACTACTTCCACTTGTTCCTTTTTTTTTAAGTTGGTTGTGGGTCTTGAACTCTGGGCCTGGACGCTGTCCCTGAGCTCTTCAGCTCAAGATTAACGCTCTACCACTTAAGCCACAGGACCACTTCTGGCTTTTTCTGCTTATGTGGTGCTAAGGAATAGAACCCAGGGCCTCATGCATATGAGGCAAGCACTCTACCACTGAGCCACCTTCCCAGCCCTCTTGTTTTTCTTTTTGTTGGTCATGGGGCTTGAACTCTGGGCCTGGGTGCTATCCCTGCGCTCTTCAGCTCAAGGTGAGTGCTCTATTGCTTGAGCCACAGCACCACTTATGGTTTTCTAGTGGTTTATTGGAGATAAGAGTCTCACAGACTTTTCTGCCCAGGCTAGCTTCGAACCATGATCCTCACATCTCAGCCTCCTGAGTAGCTAGGATTACAGGTGTAAGCCATCGGCGCCCAGCCCTTCCTCTTGTTTTTGATAATCATGTACATAAGTTAGGGAAGATTTTCCTATGGGAATTTGGAATATATTAATAATAGTTAACACCATCATCATTACCATCACCACCATCATCACCATCATCATCAGCGGCAGCAGCAGCATTATTTTGTCAGTCATGGGGCTTGAACTCTGGGCTTGGGCGCTGTCCCTGCGCTCTTCAGCTCAAAGTGAGTGCTTTACCACTTGAGCCACAGAACCATTTCTGGTTTTCTAGTGGTTTATTGGAGATAAGAGTCTCATGGACTTTCCTGCTCGGTCTGGCTTTGAACCATGATCCTCAGATCTCAGCCTCCTGAGTAGCTAGGGTTAAGGTGTGAGTCACAGGTGCCTGGCTCTAATATTATTTTTGAAGACTTGTTCTAAACTCATTATTTAAAAACTCAATTCATACAATTCTATTAAAACCCATTTTATTCATACAATTCTATTAAAAAAAACCCCACCGTTTGATTGATGAAAAATGTGAAGCAAAAAGTAAATTACCCAAGTTCACAGGGCTAGAAGATAGCAGAGCCAACATTTGACCGAGCAAACTAATAATGGAGCACTTGGGTTCTTTACTACTAACTACCATACACTCAATTGTCTTTCACAATATGTAGCTTGCTTTTCTCCTCAAAGTTTCTAACATTAATTTTTTAAAAATACAAGCTTTATTTTTTTTTTTTTTTGGTTGGTCAGGGGGTTTGAACTCTGGGCCTAGGTGCTTGCTGTCCCTTAGCTCTTCAGCTCAAGGCTAGCATTCTACCACTTGAACCACAGCGCCACTTCCAGCCTTTTCTGTTTATGTGGTGCTAAGGAATCGAATCCAGGGCCTCATGCATGTTAGGCAAGCCCTCTACCATTGAGCCACCTTCCCAACCCCTACAAGCTATATTTTATAATAAGCATAAGCAGGAAAACTCAAGAATTAATTTAAAGGAATAATCTTTACATTTTCAATTGGAATTCCTCCTAATTGCTCCTTTTCCTTTTCTCTATGGTGATAATTTCCAATGCTGAAGCTGTTTATGCGCCTGTGCTTGCTGAAATGGCTTACCAACATGCTAAATGTTTCCTGTCTCTTAACCCTGCCTGGCATCCACTATCACTTCCTGGATATTCCCGATGATCTTTATTTCTGAGTAACTCATTGTAAAAACGTTCTTTAGCTTTCTGCCAATTACCTTTTGCCCCAAGGAACACTTCTGCTAATTCTCTTCATCTCTATAAACAAAGCAGTGACCTGCTAATTTATCTTTGAACCATTTTCCCGTTTCATTAAAGACACTTATACAGGAAGCTGCTTACAAGCAGTATTTTGAAAACCTTCATAGGTTCAAAGGTTAACAGCTAAAGATTATCACTGTAACATATTGCTCATTTTCAAAATTTAAAAATTTCAAAATTAGAAGTTTGTGCTTTCATTAGAAACAAACAAAAAGAAAAAAAAAACAGCTGTGTGCCAGTGGCTCATGCCTATAATCCTAGCTATTCAGGAGAATGAAACAGGAGGATCAAAGTTCTAGGCCTGCCCTGGCAGGAAAGTTGATGAGACTTATCTCTAAAGTGTTATGGCTCCTAGAGCACTAGCCTTGAGCAAAAGCAGCTCAGGAACAGAGCCAAGGCCCAGGTTTCAAGCCCCAGGAATGGCAAAATAAAGTTTAAAACCTTTTATTTTTTAGTAGAAATTAAGACTGTTGGGCAGGGTGATACAACTCAATGGTGGAGTACTTAACTAGAATATACAAAGTCTGGGGTTTCATCCTTAGCACTAAGGAAAACAAAAAACAAAAAAACCCTTGAAGTTGGAGACTCAGACATATAAGGTTAATAACTGAGTGCAGAAAACTAACCAGCTAGGCACCCCAGTGGCTCATGCTTGCAATCCTAGCTACTAAGGAGGCTGAGATCTGAGGATCACGGTTCAAAGCCAGCAGGGGCAGCAAAGTCCATGAGACTCTTTTGTTTGGGGGGGAGGTGGTTGTGGAGCCTGAACTCTGGGCCTGGGCACTGTCCCTGAGCTCTTCTTCAGCTCAAGGCTAGCATCCAACCACTTGAGCCACAGTGCCACTTCTGGCTTTTTCTGCTTATGTGGTGCTGAGGAATCGAACCCAGGGCCTCATGCATGCAAGGCAAGCACTCTACCACTGAGCCACCTTCCCAGCCCCTCTGTGAGACTCTTATCTCCAATTAACCACCAGAAAACCAGAAGTGATGCTGTGGCTCAAGCGGTAGAGTGCTCGCCTTGAGCTGAAGAGTGCAGGGATATTGCCCAAGCCCAGAGTTCAAGCCCCACAACCAACAAAAAACAAATAACAAAAAACCCAAGACAATAAAACTTATCTTTTAGTGGTGTAGTGATCTTATTTATTTATTTGGAGAAAGGGCCAAATGCTTGTCTTATTTATTGATTTATTTAACGTTACTTGGTACTAGGGGTCAAACCCAAAGCCTAATGTGTATCTGGTAAGTGCCCTATTGCTAAGCAACATCTCCAGCACATCCACTCCTGCCTCAGCTTCCTGAGTGTTGGATTATAGACCTGTTTGGCATGACTTACTTTTAATATCTAGTTTTAATATATTGTGAACCACAGGTTCTCAGCCTATTGAAGACATTAGATTTCCTCACTAATTAAACTGATTGTGATTCTAGACTTCAAAACATTTCCTTAATTTTACTTTATTGTTAACTTTACTCAAATTTATTCTCTCTTGCATTATTTATTGCCTTTTCATTGCCATGCCTCCATTTGGAATTATTTTTAATTAAATTTTTATTATTATCTTTAAAACCGTTGTACAAGGGAGCTGCCATTTAACAAAGCAGTTTATGAATATGAATACAATATATCTTGATCACTGTCAACTCTTAACATTCTCACCCAACCCTCTCCTACCCCACCCCTTCCTTATAAACAGGATTCTTGACTGCATTTCCCCCCACTCTTCTCTTCCTCATTCATCTACCTTTTCCCCTTGACCCCACCCCACCCCTTTTGAGTGCTCTTGGTAAGGAAATGTATATATACATAATGGTATTTTACTCATCCCTTAGAAAGAATGCTATTGTAGCATCTGCAAAGAAATGAAAAGACTTGGAAAATAATGTGTTAAGTGAAGTTAGTCAGGCCCAGAGAGACAAAGGGCCCATGTTTTCCCTTCTATGTGGAAGCAGACTCAGCTTAAACTCATAAGTAAATATTGTGGGTGGTGTGCAAGTGTATACAATATGTACTAACTGAAATACACTAGATTCAAGGGAGATCTCAAACAGTAGAAAGCCAAAATCAAAGTTCAGCAAAATTTCCTTCCTTCCTTTCAGCTTAGGATTGAAACCAGGGCTTCTGGGAGCCACCCCTGTCAAGATCCTAAAGCACCCGACTCCTCCACCCTCCCACTAGTCCTGAGGCTTAAACTCAGGGACTGGTGTTGTCCCTCAACTTTTTTTGCTCAAGGTTAGCCTTCTACCTCTTGAACCACAGTTCCACTTCTAGCTTTTTGGTATTTTATTGGAGATAATAGTCTCGTGAACTTTCATGCCTGAGCTGATTTCAAACTACGATCTTCAGATCTCAACTTCCTGAGTAGCTAGTATTACAGGCATGAGCCACCTGGCCCAAAACATTTCCCTTTAAAGTATTATTGTAATAGGGGTTTGAACTTAGTCTCCATTTGCTAGGCAGAGCTCTAGCTACCACTTAAACCATTTCAGCAGTGCCTACAGTTCTTGTTTTCGTTCTTTTTCAAATAGGTTTTGGGGGGGGGGGAAGAGGGGGTACTAGAGTTTCAATATAAGGCTTCACTCCTTAGGAAAACCCACTACTACTAGCCATGCCTCACTCCTTTTAAATTCAGGACTAATTACGCCAAGTGAAAAGAAGCCAAGCTGTAAAGGCTGTACATCACATTTTACATTTATGACATTCTAGAAAATAACAAAATGAAGACAAGATTAGTGACTGCTTCACTCTGGGGATAAGGGACAGGTCTGATTATATGAAGGCAGCACAAGAAAAATTTGGAGGTGACAGAATAATTCTGCATTTTTACTATGTGTCTGGTTACATAACTGAATGCAGTGTTTAAAGTCATACAACTACAAGACCAAAGCAATTAACCTTAGTGGTTTAAAAAAAAAGTTCAAAACATTCCAAATTAAGGTTAAACCATAGATGCTTCCCCTCTCCTTTTTCTAAAAAAAGTGAGAAGGGGATCTCACTATGTAGCCAAGCCCGGTCCTGAACAATCCTCCTGCTTTAGCTAAAGCAGTTATAAATTGCTATGATTGGCATTTTCCTTTCAGAAAGTTTACAATCAACATAGCAATACTGGTAACTGGAATGTGCCAACAGATTGACCCTTGATTTGCTCAGGATATACTTAACTTGGCTATGTTTAAATGAGGTGTAAGATT